TGATATTTCGTCTATCATAAAGATTTATATGACGTAAAAATAAAATAATGGCTAATAAAAGTTTTTTCTGTGATTTTTTTCCTGTGACATTTTTTCCTGTTACTTTAAGTTTTATGTGACTCTTTGCCTGTGACTTTTTGATCTGAATTTTTTGCATGAATTTTCCCTTCAATCGTTTATAAGTTAACAGTAAATGAAGACTTGTCTGAACCATTGGCTGTCATAAGCGTACATGATTTGTTCAGCTAAACTGTCTTCAAACCATTTTGGAAGAGATCTGCATGAAGGAATAGTATTATACAGTTTTTATTTCACTGAATTTATAAACACATAAAGATACAACTTGTTATGCTCGGCTGTAAGGTTATTGCTATATTGCTGAAGTCAGCTGTACAATTATTGCTTAAGTCAGGTGTACAATTATTGATTTATTGCTTAAGTCAGCTGTACAATTATTAGTTAAAGCAGCTGTACAATCATTGCTTAAGTCAGCTGTACAATTATTGCTTAAGTCAGCTGTACAATTATTGCTTAAGTCAGTTGTGCAATTATTGCTTAAGTCAGCTGTACAATTATTGCTTAATTCAGTTGTACAATTATTGCTTAAGCCAGCTGTACAATTATTGCTTAAGTCAGCTGTACAATTATTGCTTTATTGCTTAATTCAGCTGTACAATTATTGCTTAATTCACCAGTACAATTATTGGTTAAGTCAGCTGTACAATTATTGCTTAATTCACCAGTACAACTATTGGTTAAGTCAGCTGTAAAATTGTCGCCTAATTTAGCTGTACAATTATTTGTTAAGTCACATATGCAATTAATGCTTAATTCAGCAGCACAATTGTTGCTTAATTCAGCTGTACGATTATTGATTAAGTCAGCCGTACAATTATTGCTTAATTAGCTGTACGATTATTTGTTAAGTAACAAATACAATTATTGGTTAAGTCTGCTGTGCAATTTATTGGTTAAGTCACATGTACAATTATTGTTTAATTCAGCTAATAATTATTACTTAATCCAGCTGTACAATTATTGGTTACTTCACGTATACTATTAATGCTGATATCAGCCGTACAATTATCAATTATTGGTTAATTCAGATGTACAAATATTGCTTAATTCAGCTGTACAATTATTGGTTAAGTCAGCTGTGCAATTATTGCTTAATTTAGCTTTACAATTATTGCTTAATTCAACTGTACAATTATAGCTTATCTCAGCTGTACAATTAATGGTTAAGTCAGCTATATAATTTTTGGCAAAATCATATGTACACTTATTGTTTTATTTAGCTGTACAATTGTTGCTTAATTCAGCTGTACAATTATTGCTAAACTCAGCTGTACAATTGTTGGTTAACTCAGACTGTATAATTATTGGTCAAGTCAGCTGTACACTTTTTGCTTAAGTCAGCTGTACAATTATTGCTTTATTGCTTAAATCAACAGTACAATAATTGCTTAAGTCAGCTGTACAATTATTAGTTAAAGCAGCTGTACAATCATTGCTTAAGTAAGCTGTACAATCATTGCTTAAGTAAGCTGTACAATTATTGCTTAAGTAAGCAGTACAATTATTGCTTAAGTCAGCTGTACAATTATTGCTTAATTCAGCTTTACAATTATTGCTTAAGCCAGCTGTACAATTATTGCTTAAGTAAGCAGTACAATTATTGCTTAAGTCAGCTGTACAATTATTGCTTAATTCAGCTGTACAATTATTGCTTAAGCCAGCTGTACAATTATTGCTTAAGTCCTCTTGGTAAGCATTAACGCGTTTAATCCAGCCCTAAAAATTCCTGTCACTTTCAGGTGATGTCCAGGTGATGTCTAGGTGATGTCCAGGTGATGTCCAGGTGATGTCTAGGTGATGTTCAGGTAATAGTATGTGTCTCATCATTGAGTGTGGAAAATCTCTCTGATATTACTTTATATATAACTCACCTATTTCTTAAACCGTAGTTTCTAGTAATTCTCTTAAATTGAATTTATGTGAAATTTGCCTCTCGCATTTAGATGTTCTTCTGGTTCATCACCATCATTGGGTACTTATGTGACATCACAGTCATTGGGTATTCTGTGACCTCACAGTCATTGGGTACTTCTGTGATATCATAGCCGTTGGGTACTTCTGTGACATTTAAAGTCTTTGGGTACTTCTGTGACATCACAGTCAATGTGTAATTTTGAATGCACAGATGATCTCTGTATAATCTATACAAAAGTGCACATGATTGTTTAAGTTCATATCCTCTTTTGTAAATCTCATTTTAAAAATTCATCATTAAGACAAATTCTGATTCTTTCATCTCCATTTCGATAACACTCTTCAACTTTGCTGTCTAATGTTTTTAAGATTTAAGTGTGAGATTTCAATATTGTTGCTGTAGACACAGCATGTCACCATCAAGTGGCGACCATCTAGTCTCAGAGAGAGGTTTTTAAACTACTTTCATTTCCAGTACAACCCTTAAAGATTTAAAAAAAAAAAAAAAAAAAACAAGAACAACCACACCGGTCTGCACTACTGAGAAAAGATTTCAATATTGTTGCTGTAGACCCAGCATGTCACCATCAAGCGGCGACCATCTAGTCTAAGAGAGAGGTTTTTAAACTACTTTCATTTCCAGTACAACCCTTAAAAATTTAAAAAAAAAAAAAAAAAACAAGAACAACCACACCGGTCTGCACTACTGAGAAGTAAGACGATCACGTACTTCATATAAACGACAAAGACAATCACAGAGATCATAAAATATGTATCTATATTACCATTCAATATATTCAATCATTTTTTACATAGTATATACATCTGTCACGTGTTCTGACGTTTTTAAAGCATAATTACACACATATAACATTACTCATAGTTATAAAAAAATTATAAAACACAGAATCCATATAATAGTATCATACAGTTATACCCAGGACGTACCCATAGTCACAGTCATATCCCAGTCGCTTCCCTTAAAGAAAAAAACAACCTAATCTTTCCATAAAGAAGAAAAGGTATTTACCTGAGTCCAACCATCACGCATGACGCTCACTGCGTGTTAGCATCCCCCCCCCCGCCCCCTACTCAGTACTATTTGATATAAACATGTGGAGTTGGGGGAAGCTCGGTTCTGAGTAGAAGCAGGACACACAAGAAGCACAATATATTTAAGAGAAATCAAAGAAGTTGTTGCCTTGCCTGGCATTTAATCCTAACTGCCTTAGATTGGCCACTGGAGCCGGGAAAACCTGGCTAACGAAAATGCATTGAACAAAAATGGGTGTGTGCTATGGACCGTTAAATTGTACTTCTATGATAGTGATATTAAAGCATGGCACGATTCCTATAGTCCGACGGTGTGCACCGACACTCAAACAAACATTCTTAAGACAAGGAGACTACTTGTCTACATTTCTTGTTGTGTATTTATTTTACCTTTTGTCTTCGGTAAGAATAAAAAGTGTTGGACTACGATAAAGCTTTAAAATAGATTAATAAGACACGAAAATTTTGTGTCAATATAACAATATAAGTTAAGCTTTCATAATCATGTTACATAATAAACAAGTAGACTTTCGGCACACGCCTTCATCAGTACAACAAAAAACAATTAAATAAGAATAAATTAAATTTACATAAGAGTACTAGAATATTTTAACATCCAAGTGTTACATTATGTAAATTTAATTTATTCTTTTTTAATAGTTTTTTTGTTGTAATCATTTATGTAATGCACAAACTATAGACCCATCTGTGACCATTTATGTAATGCACAAACTATAGGCCCATCTGTAATCATTTATGTAATGCACAAACTATAGGCCCATCTGTAATCATTTATGTAATGCACAAACTATAGGCCCATCTGTAATCATTTATGTAATGCACAAACTATAGGCCCATCTGTAATCATTTATGTAATGCACAAACTATAGGCCCATCTGTAATCAGAAAACACATATGCCAACTACGTAGCTAACGTTGTGTCTTTCATCTCTGCCTCGCCTCGTCCTATAGTAGTACAGATTGAAAGAAGTAAGCAATCTGACATTTAACTCAACTATAACACAACATAGTCCATGAATGAACTACTACCTCTGCCTCGCCTCGTCCTATAATAGTACAGATTGAAAGAGGTAAGCAATCTGACATCTAACTCAACTATAACACAACATAGTCCATGAATGAAGTACTACCTCTGCCTCGCCTCGTCCTATAGTAGTACAGATTGAAAGAAGTAAGCAATCTGACATCTGACTCAACTATAACACAACATAGTCCATGAATGAACTACTACCTCTGCCTCGCCTCGTCCTATACTAGTACAGATTGAAAGAAGTAAACCAGCTGACATCTGACTCAACTATAACACAACATAGTCCATGAATGAACTACTTCGCCTCCCATTTGAAAGCCATAGAAATATTCTCATCAAGTAGCAATCATCACTTATTGCACAGCTCAAACCAACAATCAGATTTAAAACTACCAATACTGTACATCAAAAATATCCAGCAGCAGTTACCCTAATTGTCAACCCTGAAATCATGATATCTTTCTAATGTACCCGCCAAAGTGAGATATTGAGGATGGGTCAGAACTATAAACAATCTGTTGGGCACTGATAAAGATGCCACGAAGAAGATTCCTGCCAAAGTATCAAATTGACACCTACCAATTGTTCACATTGACACCTACCAATGTATCACATTGACACCTACCAATGTATCACATTGACACCTACCAATGTATCACATTGACACCTACCAATGTATCACATTGACACCTACCAATGTATCACATTGACACCTACCAATGTATCACATTGACACCTACCAATGTATCACATTGACACCTACCAATGTATCACATTGACACCTACCAATGTATCACATTGACACCTACCAATGTATCACATTGACACCTACCAATGTATCACATTGACACCTACCAATGTATCACATTGACACCTACCAATGTATCACATTGACAACTACCAATGTATCACATTGACACATACCAATGTATCACATTGACACCTACCAATGTATCACATTGACACCTACCAATGTATCACATTGACAAATACCAATGTATCACATTGACACCTACCAATGTATCACATTGACACCTACCAATGTATCACATTGACAACTACCAATGTATCAAATTGACAACTACCAATGTATCACACTGACACATCTGAAGAGCACTGCTTTAATTTAAAGTACAGTGGACTATTTTAAATAAATCAACTAAACTCTACTGAACAATAATACATAATTTCACTAGCAGACAGAGGAAAGGGGGTGGGTGGTTGCCCACAACGCCCGTGACTCACTTGTCTTTAAATAAATATATGCTCACTTATTCAGAACATCAGAGCATATGAATGTCTTCGCAGACACCAGAATTGTATGTGTTTACACCTTAATCACTAAACAACCATCAGTGTGTCTATCAGTGTGTCTATCAGTGTGTCTATCAGTGTATCTATCAGTGTGTCCATCAGTGTGCCTATAAGTGTGTCTATCAGTGTGTCTCGGTAATACTATTATAATATTATCAGAGTATCACAAACCCTTGTCCATTTGTTGTTCTGAAGAGGTCAGCTTTTGTTCACTAGTTTTTCTGAAGAGGTTAGTTTTGTCCACTGATTGTTCTGAAGAGGTCAGTTTTTTCCACTGGTTGTTCTGAAGAGTTCAGTTATTGTCCATTGGTTGTTTCTGAAGCGGTCAGTTTTTGTCCATTGGTTATTCCGAAGAAGTCATTTTTTTGTCCAATCGTTGTTCTGAAGAGGTCAGTTTTTTCCACTGGTTGTTTCTGAAGAGGTCAATTTTCGCCCATTGGTTGTTTCTGAAGAGATCAGTTTTTGTCCATTGGTTTTTCTGAAGAAGTCTTTTTTTTTTTGTCCACTGTTTGTTCTTAAGAGGTCAGTTTTTGTCCACTGGTTGTTCTGAAGAAGTTAGTTTTTGTCGAGATCTCGACTTAGACCGTTTCCGTTTGGACTTTAAACTGAGACGATGGATGAGTCCTCGCACGCGCGTGCACGACTGTTCCTGTGACCGGACGTGTGAGCGGACAGAGCGGACCTGTCGGATGACGTCATGGAAGACATATTTGACGCCCTCGGGATCGCTCCTCACGGACGTCTCATAAAAAGACGCCCCAATGTCGAACGCGGCGTCGCGTCCTTTGGACGACGTCACCACTTGCTGTTTGGCACAGTCGGTTTTGTTTGCTATAGTAAATATGGAAAGAAAAATTTGTTAAAAATATTTTTTTAAAATTCCAAAGAAGAAATAAAGTCGGTTATTTAAAAACAAGAAGTTGAAATATAACCTATAATCGGGAACATCTACTATATAAAGCTCAGCTTGATTATGGATGTATATATATACGTAAATTTAGCTTTCATTGAGATTTCAAATATTCATCTATGTATCTTTCTGTTATAATATCTATCTCTTGTCTAAAGGGGACAATTTGTCCGTAAGTCATGTCCGTTAATGCCGCATACGCTTCTATATGGATTGTTCGATCTTGATCGAACTTTGCATTATCCAGAAGGTAATACTGACTGGGTTTGAATTTTTAAAAACAAATCCCATTCAAGACCATGGAGCAGAAATTTCGTGCTCTCTTCTTCTGATATAAGCCCTATAAACGAAATGACAATAAAAGGATAGAGCTCGTGAATTGTTGCATCTAAGGTAAACTTGGTAAACTAACCTGCCGTGATCCCTGTCAATGTAATCGGTGCATTTTAAACGAACAATAACCGTTCCTTTTCTTTAGGGGCCACAATTTTATTTTAATGAATATACTACAGCTTTGTTTTTTGTTTTTTTTAAAAACCGATTTTAATCGCGAAAATGTTCAAATATGTTGTTTCATTAACGAAATTAAAATACTCACTGTTGTAAAAATAGGAATGATTGAGTCTTTTTGGTGCCGGCGGTCGCAGTAGTAAACATTTTAAAGGCAACATTTAGGGCAGATTCCATCATTTTAAATGGGATAATTTTGAAATTTAAACTTTAATATTGATGTGAATAACTCAAATGGTCCCTTTAGGAATGGGCACCTGTCGAGATTCCAATTTTATTTTGATTGATAAACGGCCACAGCTTTAGCATAGGGGCATTCTTTTTCTTTTAACAAGACATCTTTCCAAAATTAGATTGTTTTTTGAAATCATGGTTTTTTGGCAACCAGGAATGAAAACTGAGACAAGGTGTAGATCAGTCAACCATCAACAACACTTTAGCAACGAGAACAAAATCATGGATAGGAACTTATGCTGATTAAAAAAAACCACAAACAAACAACAACAACTAATATATAACATTTGTTTATGGTAGGATTGTGTGGGCAAATGTTTAGGATAGGATTGTGTGTCCTATTGATTAGGATAAGATTGTGTGTTCCGTTCATGTTAGGCTTGTGTGTTGTCAGATGCCATGGAGTTTGTACCAATAGGTAAAGAAACAGCGAAGCCAGGCAAAACATTTAACTAAACACGACATTTAAATACAACAAAACATTTAACTAAACACGACATTTAAATACAACAAAACATTTAACTAAACACGACATTTAAATACAACAAAACATTTAACTCAACACGACATTTAAATACAACAAAACATTTAACTAAACACGACATTTAAATACAACAAAACATTTAACTAAACACGACATTTAAATACAACAAAACATTTAACTAAACACGACATTTAAATACAACAAAACATTTAACTAAACACGACATTTAAATACAACAAAACATTTAACTAAACAAATTCAGTTTACCAATAAAAACTAAAGGGGTGTCCATTCTGTTTCGAAGTTCCATGATGACGTCATAATAACCAGAAGTTGCCCAGAAGCTGTCCGTGTCTGTGACGGAGTAAAGCAGGAGAAAGCCGTCTGCTCGCTGGGTGAGCGACTTAACGATAGGGTCATCATTTCCGTTCTGTGTTGACACCTGGTGAGTGTCATGCTTATAATTGTGTTGGTTGAATGTAGTTGTTTAAGTAGCATTTAAAAAATTCTCAAATATTATCGATATTTGTTTCAACGAATAATTGAACTTACAGTTTGCATAAAGTCTTGTCATTAAAAAGCCATTTAGGTTAAGTGCTAAATTTTAAAATTTAATTCAACTGTTTACTAGGTCCTGTGCTTCTTAGCCTTAAGGGCATCTTCCAGTCCCTAGTGTCAAAAACAATGTCTGCCCATACTCACCTTCAAGGGCATCCTCAACTCACTAAGCCTCATAAAACATGTCTGCCCATACTCACCTTCAAGGGCATCCTCAACTCACTAAGCCTCATAAAACATGTCTGCCCATACTCACCTTCAAGGGCATCCTCAACTCACTAAGCCTCATACAACATGTCTGCCCGTCAACCGTGTCCCAGGTACAGAACTCAGCCCTGCGAACTAAGCAATGCAAAATGTAAAAATGTATAAAGTAATATGACAACGCAATATCGACTTTAAATATAATACACCATAAAGCAAATGGCAACGTGATATTGATTTCAAATATGATACATAACAAATAATATAGCGACACTTAAAGAAGGTATTTAACTTGGATGGATACCAATCTTTATACCGTATACTTTATTAACACTAACCTTTGGCATTTTTCTGTATAACAAGTCGATCACAGTGGTTCTCCTCTTCTCTGCCCCCGACATACACTTGGCAGATGGCTGGGGGGAACAAACAGAACAACTTTCAAATTTTTCTCAGCATTCAGTTTGTTGTGTTATAAGTTGTTAAACATGTTAGTTCTGATAATTTCGCGCAGAAAAACAAGGGGAGACAAATTAGAACAAAGAGCCATAACTCGAAAAGAAAGATAACTTTATCATAGTCCCCCCTCTCCCATCCCCCATTTTAATTGATGATCAAATTCTGCATTAATAATCCTTAATTTTTGATCGTCCATTAAAAGCTTATCCGTGATATCTAATTATTTTCGCAACGGTCTAGAGGTCGTAGAAACTTTTAGCCACCACCCCAAAAATATATCGATATATTTTGGCTTGATTTAAAATAAAGAAAATCCTCCATTATTTAAAATGAAAATGTTTTATGACTTTATGAATTGGGAGAATACAATATTAAATATAATCAGTTGAAATGAACTCCATAAAACTCCTTATGCGAGAACAAAATAATTAGTTGGAAAAAATAGTCACTTCAAAGTTTGAATTTAAAACTATAATTATATATATTTTTTTTTAAATACTATCGAGAAGCAGGAAAACCATCTATATCTTAAAATCACGAATCAAATTACAAAAAACACAACAACAAAAACACAACAACGAAACAAACTATTAATAAATTCTTAACGCCATTTTAGAATATGTGTGTAGGTAGTTAAGCTTCTTGTCAATTTTTATTAAAACATTGTTTATTTTCTTCATTCGGATTTATGCCACAAAATTACTACACAATGTTGTCACTTTAAAAACATTTGACTAGTGTAAGTATTTACTAAATATGACTTAGCAACATTCATGATTAAAAGGGGGGTGGCACTTTTTGCTCTTGCCTGTAGCACAAACTTGCTAAGGTCGCCACTGATAAAGTCAAACATAATCACTGGACCATGCGAACCACATGTTTACACCTTGATAAGAAAACGAACATTTTCTCCGCTACTCAAAGGCTAAAACACTTTTTGAAACTACGCCATGAATCTTACGGTTAGGTTTAGACAAGTTTTAAAGATTAGCTCCTTGTATACCAAGGAGGAGATAAAAATTATGCTCAATTACTGAAAGATGATTTTTATTTGTATCGCCCCTTGGGGAAACCCGTACCACCAACACGTTTATTTTTAGGTTCATTTTCTGGCCCGAGTACAAGACCGATCGTCGGAGCTGCCGGGAAGCCATTTCTTTATGGCTCTGTAATCTCAAACACTCATTTCTCTGAGTGTTATCTGAGTGGAGAGATTGATTGCCTCGGTGCACCTATTTTACTGGTAGATAGCACGAGTACAAGACATAGATGTTTTGTGTTTTAGCAGAGGAAGCTCTGCCATGAGTTTATTTTTAACATTGGCATCATATATTAATTTTGATCATGTCATTTTACTAAATAAAAATTGATAAGATATACATGATGGGTCCACATTGACATGTTGGGCGTAAAGCTGAATGAGACAGCCAGCTCAATTGGACAAAAGGTCCTTTTTACGACAAGCTGAATTTGAAGGAAAGCTGAAATTGACGAAAGGCAGAAATTGAAAGAAGCTGAATTTGACCGGCAGTGAATTTGACGTATAGCTGAATTTGAAAGAAAGCTGAAATTGAGAAAAGCATAAATTTGAAAGAAGTCCGAATTTAACCAGAGAGTGAATTTGACGGAAAGCTGAAATTGTTAGACAAGTGAAATTGTCGGAAAGCTGAGATCTATAAATTATTTCAAAATTTGGGTGATGGATGAAAGAAAAAAGGTGCCTTTCTTAGATGTCCTCCTAGATATTAAAAATCAATTCTGATCGGACGCAGAAAAAATTCATAAGCATCACATGATGCAAGAGAATTGAAGGCCAAAAACACGGATTAGGGTACCCAAATAGACGGTGTTACAACATAGCTTATGTCTTGACCCGATTTCACTTCAAGTTAGAGCTAAGGCGTCGACCCCTCCATCTTCTGTGTTTTGAAACTGACGTCACCGATGAAATGTGCACTGCCGTGCCGGTCCCACCCCACCATTGATTGGGAAAGTGTTGCTTACTTTTGAATACTTTCTAGCTTTCGTAAGAATTCTAGCAAGTGACGCAATTTCTAGTATTTGTGTGTGTGTGTGTGTATATGTATATTCTCACTGATGTTACTTTGAGTTCAATTTGAAGCCTAAAGTTTTGGTCTAGAGCCAAAGTTTGGAGCACAGTCAATTAATCGACCCAAGTTTGGACCGCAGTTAATTAGCCGACCAAAGTTTGGACCACAGTCATTTAGTCGACCAAAGTTTGGACCGCAGTCAATAAGTCGACCAAAGTTTGTACTGAAGTCAATTAGTCGACAAAGTTTGGACCGCAGTCAATTAGTCGACCAAAGTTTGGACCGCAGTTGATTAGTCGCCCAAAGTTTGGACAACAATCAATTAGTCGACCAAAGTTTGGACCGCAGTCAATTAGTCGACCAAAGTTTGGACCGCAGTCAATTAGTCAACCAAAGTTTTGACCACAATCAATTAGTCGACCTGACTGCAAATCGCCCGTAATCAAGGGAGCTGAACTCTGATAAAACTATCCAGCTGGCAGGACTTCACTAACATATTTCAGAGGTATGAAGACACCTAGTGCATCTTCTCCACCACCGCCTCGGGACGTATCTCAAGGCGTGTTATTATTTGATCACTCTGGCAGGCTTTACTATAAAAAACAATCTTTAACATCGCTACCGCTAAAACCAACATCAAACGTGAGTAAAGAATGACGTAGAAGAAGACGAAGTTGATCATGTTAGAGAAAGGATGAGAAACGATGAGAAAGGATGAGAAAGGATGAGAAGGGATGAGAAAGAATTACAGAAGATGAAATCAGGAGGCAATTAGTAGATGACTAGAAAATAAAAAAAAAACAATCTTTGAATGAAGAAAGTTTGTAGGTCAAGTCGCTGTCGGACCTGTTTTATGTTGAAGCTTTTCAAGAAAATAAACCATACAAAAAACAAATGCCACATATTAAATGCCACACGAAAATAGCCCACAGGAAACAAAAAGCCGACATGAAAAAAGCCCACAAAAAAAAATGCCACATGAAAGAAGACCACAGAAACAAATTCCCCATGAAAAAGGCCACAGGAAGAAATGCCACATGGAAAAAGAGCCACAAGAAAAAATGTCACATGAAAAAAGCCCACAGGAAGAAATGCCACTTGGAAAAAGGCCACAGGAAGAAATGCCACATGGAAAAAAGCCACAAGAAAAAATGTCACATGAAAAAAGCCCACAGGAACAAATGCCACATAGAAAAAGCCACAGGAAAAATGACAACTGAAAAAAGCCACATGAAAAAATGCCACATGAAAAAAGACCACAGGAAAAAATGCCACGTGGAAAATACCACAGGAAAAAATGCCATGTGAAAAAAAGGAAACAGGAAAAAAGAAAGCCACAAGTCACGAAAGCCTATAGGAAATAAAGCAAAGGCAATGGGGAAAAAAAGGAAAAAAGTCATACATAGATGTCACAAATCTAATATTTAGATATCAATTTTGTTTCGTAAAATTATGTATTGTTTTGTTAAGTAGAAATAACAGGAAGTGAGGAATTATGGGATAAGGGTAACAGTCATGAATGTTTTGCAGGGATTTATATATTTTGCGCTGGTTATGTTCATTTTAGTTATTAATAGCATTTAATGCTCATTTGGTGAAACAGAAGAAGTTGTATGAAGGATTATATTTGACTCTGATCTACAGAGATATTGTTTTATTGTGTGTTCGTTCATCAGTCAATACAAGTCGCAATGGTAATTCCTCTGGTACTTATTTGGATAAACATGGTGGACGTATGTAAAATGTGGATGCACAGTATAGTATAAGTGATAATTACAACCCTACAAGTAACAACATCATAACACATCATAACACATCATAGCACATCATAACACATCATAACACATCATAACACATCATAACACATCATAACACATCATAACACATCATAACACATCATAACACATCATAACACATCGTAACACATCATAACACATCATAACACATCATAACACATCATAACACATCATAACACATCATAACACATCATAACACATCATAACACATCATAACACATATAACTGTGTTTATGATACGTTACACTAGAAAAAGTCAAACATAGGAAAATGTCCCTAGAGTAAATTGATGGATCAACTCTATTGAGGTGGATATTTTGGTAAGTTTTGAGTTTTGAGTCAAACGGGAAGGTCACAAATAGGACATTTGGAGCATCACACACGTGTTACAAAAACACAAATGATAATTCCTCCATGTAGGCATGTATGACTGTGACGCTGTGGTCTATAGGCAAGCGGCATACATTGCCTAGAAGTTAAGACCAAGTTTGAACCTTATAATGTGCGTAAATTGGGTGCATATTTTTCCAAGTAGATTTGGTAGATGGGAAGTTCACACATTGCCGCTGCCATTGTGTGGCGCGTTATTTCTAGTTCATAATAGTGCCGATACTCAAACTTCAAATATTGTACAACATTGAATCAAAAATACTGCTAGGCACACCTTTGGCCGAGTTACATAAGCAAACCATGGTACGATTTATTGTCTGGGCGCGCGCGCGCGTGTGTGTGTGTGTGTGTGTGGAGGGGGTGGGGTGGCGGGAGGATGGAGGGAGGGAAGGAATCAGAGAAATTCCTCAAACAGACCCGTGGCTGGATGGCATTTGCTTTGATACCGATAGTGTTAGGAGATGGGGGGGGGGGTTGAGGAGGGGAGTGGGGTAGGGCAGGGTTTTGATCGACGGGCGAAACAAATTCCAGCTTTTTAATGGCAGACAAGCAAACGTTCCAGTCGTTACGTAGAACTCTGTCATGAAGTAACCCTCTGTTTAACATGTGAAGTAACCCACTGTTTAACATGTGAAGTAACCCTCTGTTTAACTTGTGAAGTAACCCTCTGTTTAACATGTGAAGTAACCCTCCGATTAACAAGTGAAGTGACCCCATAATTCTTGTGTGACGACCAAGAAGCACAGATATGTCTAAACTATAACTGGCCTTGAGCAAAGACCCAAACAAATGTCTACAAGTAATTTCCAACTCATATGACGTCATCCATTCTAAACGCGGACAGTTCAGCCGAGGTTTGAGATTATTATCTAGCTCAAGAAAATATTTTTCAAAAATCGATCGATGCCAAAGTGAACATCTGCCCACGTTTACTGTCATTGAACGCCAACTGTTCTTCGTCGGTTTATTGTGTCTCGTCTGTAACAAAAATATACAACATTGATTATATGGGCGCACTCGACACTGTATTTGTTCTTTGTGCAGAAACTATTCTTGAGATTTTATTATAGTTATACTTGCAGAACTCTTCTATCAGCCAAGCATCGTTATATTCCTGAAATAACCTATACATTTAAGGTTGCCTCCCTTTCAATAAATAGCGGCTCTGTGCCAGCTTAATTCTTGCTAAGAGGTTCTCAAACCTAGCTCATCTAACTTCATTCGGCGTCTTTAACCACTCGCTCAAGTAACGGGAATTTCTGGGTAAAGTTATTTGAAAGAACACAATGTCTGTCACAAGATCCTCTAGTATTTTTGTAAACCGATGATAACAAACCCACCAATAAAATGAAAACACGGTCTAGGACAAAGAAATTCAAAACTTGCAAGAATCTTTAGAACTTACAAGCAATTAGAAATACAAATATGAAAATGTATTTAAAAATGAAATGAAGGATCCACGTCAGATTTAATTTGTCCAAAGAAAAAAAAAATAATTAAGTAACACGTGACTGTAAGTATCACGTGACTGTAAGCATCACGTGACTGTAAGTATCACGTGAGTGTAAGCATCACGTCACGATAAGTATCACGTGACGGTAAGTATCGCGTGACTGTAAGTATCACGTGACTGTAGGTGTCACGTGACTCTTAGTAACACTTGACTGTAAGTATCGCGTGACTGTACGCATTACGTGATTTTAAGTATCACATTACTGTCAGGATCACGTGAATTTCAGTATCACATGACTGTCAGTATCACGTGACTGTAAGTAGTGTAAGTGACCATCTGCCTGTCGTGGTCAACAACTTCAGATTGGGTATCTCAGCTTCATTCCATTGTTTACAGGACCACGGGATGTTTGTGTAAGACTTAAAATGTCAGGAGTTCGGAAGCCAAGCGGTATGGGATCGCATCTCGGCGTGCAGCTGCTCAGTTGGCCAAACGAAGAGGTGTTCTGGCACCAGCAGCTCGGCAGTTTTTTCAGAGAGTGTTTTGAAAACCCTGAGGTTGGAAAAAAAGGTGTGGGGAGGGGGGAACAACAACCATTGTTATGTACTGGAATAACACTTAAGGCAGAGGGTCTCATATTATTTGAGCCCATACCCCGTTTTGTAGAAGCAAATGTCACGTGACACCCTAATAATACATTAAAGTATTGTTAAGAAAAGACAACGAAAAAAGATGCAGTATTACAGACAAATAATGAAAAAAAAAACATCTCTTTAAATCTACAATTTGTACAATGTATTCTTTTTCAGTTGGCGAGATCACAGAAAACCTTTTGAGAACTCATGCGGGGTTGGGATGAGGGACTCGAAGGTAATGTTCTTGGTTTGTAAGTTGGGACGAGGGACTCGAAGGTAATGTTCTTGGTTTGTAAGTTGGGATGAGGGACTCGAAAGTAATGTTCTTGGTTTGTAAGTTGGGACGAGGGAGTCAAAGGTAATGTTCTTGGTTTGTAAGATGGGACGAGGGACTCGAAGGTAATGTTCTTGGTTTGTAAGTTGGGACGAGGGAGTCGAAGGTAATTTTCTTGGTTTGTAAGTTGGGGCGAGGGACTCGAAGGTATATTCTTGGTTTGTAAGTTGGGACGAGGGACTCGAAGGTAATGTTCTTGGTTTGTAAGTTGGGACGAGGGAGTCGAAGGTAATTTTCTTGGTTTGTAAGTTGGGGCGAGGGACTCGAAGGTAATATTCTTGGTTTGTAAGTTGGGACTAGGGACTCGAAGGTAATCTTCTTTGTTTTTAAAAATCAAGTCTGAAGAGGCGGCTGAGTTTCAATAATTGAAGTCGTGAGAATTCGAACAAATGTTTGGCTTCTGGAGCTCACACTGACAATGGTGTGTGAAGATGAGAGGCATCTCGTGCATACTCATGACTTAAAAGAGATACATATAGCGTAAAATGACATTACTTAGGCGAGAGGCACCCAGCATAAGGCTTACTTACTTGAAAGGCACCTAGCTTATATCACTACCACCAATGGTGTCACTACACAAGGTATAAAACCACCACCAGTGGTGTCACTAAACAAGTTATAAAACTACCACCAATGGTGTCACTAAACAAGGTATAAAACTACCACCAATGGTGTCACTAAACAAGTTATATCACTACCACCAATGGTGTCACTAAACAAGTTATAAAACTACCAACAATGGTGTCACTAAACAAGTTATATCACTACCACCAATGGTGTCACTAAACAAGGTATATCACTACCACCAATGGTGTCACTAAACAAGTTATATCAGTACCACCAATGGTGTCACTAAACAAGTTATATAACTACCACCAATGGTGTCACTAAACAAGTTATAAAACTACCAACAATGGTGTCACTAAACAAGTTATATCACTACCACCAATGGTGTCACTAAACAAGGTATATCACTACCAACAATGGTGTCACTAAACAAGTTATATCACTACCACCAATGGTGTCACTAAACAAGGTATATCACTACCACCAATGGTGTCACTAAACAAGGTATATCACTACCACCAATGGTGTCACTAAACAAGTTATATCACTACCACCAATGGTGTCACTAAACAAGGTATATCACTACCACCAATGGTGTCACTAAACAAGGTATATCACTACCACCAATGGTGTCACTAAACAAGTTATATCACTACCACCAATGGTGTCACTAAACAAGTTATAAAACTACCACCAATGGTGTCACTAAACAAGTTATATCACTACCACCAATGGTGTCACTAAACAAGTTATATCACTACCACCAATGGTGTCGCTAAACAAGTTATATCACTACCACCAATGGTGTCACTAAACAAGTTATATCACTACCACCAATGGTGTCGCTAAACAAGTTATATCACTACCAACAACGATTTTTCTAAGCAAGTAATAAATGTCCCTCGAGCATATATGCTGAAAAAGTAAAAAAGTGATTAGTGGATGGTTTCAACAAGACAGCTCTAACATCTACCTACACAAGATGCAACACCTGTCTTCAGAAGACACAACATCTACCTACACAAAGCAGCTTTAACATCTACCTACACAAGACACCTCTAACATCTACCTACACAAAACAGCTCTAATATCTACCAATAGACATCTCTAACATCTACCCAAACAAGATCTAATAAACATTACGTCGCACAAGATGTAATAAACACCAACTGCCACCCACACAAGATGTAATAAACACCAACTGCCACCCACACAAGATGTAATAAACACCAACTGCCACCCACACAAGATGTAATAAACACCAACTGCCACCCACACAAGATGTAATAAACATGTTCCAACACAAGCTATAAGAAGATTGTACCAAGCACCAACGGCCAAAAACAGACAACCACACACCTACATCTACACATCCACAGCCACACCCACACCCACACACCTGTTTTGCCCACGTCCTTGGCTCCGACCACAACAATCTTATACTCCTCGTCGTAAACAGTACTGTCACTCTCAGAGCGGAGCCTCTCCCGACCTCGTGCACTGCCACACCACAAGGTCATGGTCACCCAACGAGGATCAGGTGAACTTTATTGGTTACATCACCTGGGAAGTATCATCAAAATATCACAATTTATTAATTACATCACCTGGGAAGTATCATCAAAATATCACAATTTATTATTTACATCACCTGGGAAGTATCATCAAAATATCACAATTTATTATTTACATCACCTGGGAAGTATCATCAAAATATCACAATTTATTAATTACATCACCTGGGAAGTATCATCAAAATATCACAATTTATTATTTACATCACCTGGGAAGTATCATCAAAATATCACAATTTATTATTTACATCACCTGGGAAGTATCATCAAAATATCACAATTTATTAATTACATCACCTGGGAAGTATCATCAAAATATCACAATTTATTATTTACATCACCTGGGAAGTATCATCAAAATATCACAATTTATTATTTACATCACCTGGGAAGTATCATCAAAATATCACAATTTATTATTTACATCACCTGGGAAGCATCATCAAAATATCAAAATTTATTATTTACATCACCTGGAGTGTATCATCAAAATATCACAATTTATTAATAACATCACTCGGAGTCTATCATCAACATATTATAATTTTTTACTGACATCCCCTGGCATGTATCATCAACGTATCAGAACAGTTTATTCTTTGAATGGCACAGATTATCCCATGTTGGTACTGATGGTCTTGATTGTTGTATGCTCAATATCTCCGAGCCAACATTTCTTGTGTTTTCGACTTTCCATTACACAGGCAGACAACTGACATGGTCGAGCTGCTGTCGGGCGTTCAATTTAAGCATATCTGCGCCCCAGACAACAGCACGTCATTCTGCGAAACCCCCCCCCCCCAAACAACCATTCTCAAATTATGATTTATAATCTCCAATTTAATCTGTAACAGTTTATTGATGAACCATGAGAAAATAAGACAATCTTTATAATCTTTGAACTACTTTATATGTAATAAGTGCACATTAAATTATTATTTCACTTAAATTAAAAACAATAAATAAAAAAAAATTAATAACACACACAACCACAAAAGAAAGGGAAAAAAGTGGAAAAAAGGGGGGGGGAGTATATCAAGTTTACGAGGGTTATCCCTTATAAAAATATAAAACTTTAGAATCACATTTAGATATAAATATGGATAGACGTCTATTGTGTCGACAGTAGCGCCTCAGCAAGAACAGCCAAACCGGCCGATGGTCGAGGGTTAAAACCGGTTTAAACACATAACGTTTCACTAAACTCTGTCCGATCCTTGCTGCCACGATGATATCGTTGGTTAGTTCAAATTGGTCACTCACACGACGCATTCGGTACGAAAAGAAAAAGTGAATAAAATTAAAACGAAACTCAAACAGAGTTACGATTGTCATCTGAAATGATATAATTTTATTGAAATCTTTGGATTTTTCAGATAACATTCACTTACTGTTTCAAATAAAATGAAGTGTTTCTTTTTCTAAAATTACATTGTACATATTCATTTTCAGCACAGATATTAATTCATATTTGTAACCGAGACGACATATTAAAATGATAAAAACTTCAATATTTTTTCTAGCGTAGAACTCAGCCATCATTTAAGAAAAACAGTTTAAGTGACGTTGTGACAATAATAAGTTAATAATTTATGATCATTTAGATTTAGTAAGTGAAGGGGGGAGAGCAGGCTGGTAAATTCTTACAGGCGGGAAAAAAAACAACAGTTTTGTGTGTTTGGGGTCAAACTTTTAAGAGAAAGATTTTTGCCCTGATCGAACATAAATGTCTACGGTATCTGAGGTATCTGTGATAAAGAGAGTGGAATGTATCTTCATTTTCTTCCTCTTAGTTTTACATCAGTATTTTGCTTCCAAAAGTTTTCAAGTGAGTGATGTTTAGTTTGTGCGATATTACTATTAATAGGTTTCTTCATTAGTCTATTGAATCGGTGTTTGAGGTCAGACGGTGAATTCCCCGATGAGCAGGTAATAGCTCATGTGTAGTATTTGGGTCAAACTCACATGACACCACATGAAATGAAGCTGTTTTACTCAAGCTTACATGACACCACATGAAATGATGCTGCTCTACTCCAGCAGACACCACATGGAATGAAGCTGTTTTACTCAAGCTTACACCAAACCACATGAAATGAAGCTGTTTTACTCAAGATTACATGACATCGAATGAAATGAAGCTGTTTTACTCAAGATTACATGGCATCGAATGAAATGAAGCTGTTTTACTCAAGATTACATGACATCGAATGAAATGAAGCTGTTTTACTCAAGATTACATGACATCGAATGAAATGAAGCTGTTTTACTCAAGATTACATGACATCGAATGAAATGAAGCTGTTTTACTCAAGATTACATGACATCGAATGAAATGAAGCTGTTTTACTCAAGATTACATGACATCGAATGAAATGAAGCTGTTTTACTCAAGATTACATGGCATCGAATGAAATGAAGCTGTTTTACTCAAGATTACATGGCATCGAATGAAATGAAGCTGTTTTACTCAAGCTTACATGACATCGCATGAGATGCTGCTGCTCTACTCCATCTTATATGACACCACATGAAATGATGCTGCTGTACTCCATCTTACATGACACCACATGCAATGATGCTGCTCTACTCCATCTTACATGACACACATGAGATGCTGCTGCTATACTCCATCTTATATGACACCACATGAGATGATTCTTCTCTACTCCAGCTGACATGACACACATGACATGATGCTTTACTTTACTACGTGGTATATGTTGTATGTGTCTGAGAGGAACAGCGAAAAGCCCCTTGTTTGCGACTAGGCAAGACACCGAAAACTGTAGAGATGGACAACTTAAATGTGCTGTTCAATTTACTTAATGCATGGGGATGTCATTAAAAACAATAACATGAATTATATAAGATAGTTTCAAAGTCATTCTGAATTTTTTTATTTCTTCTGTTATACGCCCCTGAGAGTTGTGTCCCAGGCCATGGCCTCGTTTGGGCTTACAGTTTAGCGGCAGTTAAGAAGTCTATTTTTAATTTGAAGACTTTCTTAGGTATTGTAAACAACGCTCGTTGAAAAACATAGGATGGCAGTGGTTGATCCCGGAAGCGCATTAGCATAATTTTGTTTACTGGTTTTTGTATTCATACTGGATCAGTCTTAACGTTTCTAAAATCTGGGTCTTATGCTCTTTGAGACTATTGTGCTCAGACTAGGCTCCTTGAGACTATTGTTGTCGGGCTAGGCTGCTAGAGACTAGTGTACTCAGGCTAGGCTCCTAGAGACTATTGGACTCAGTTTAGGCTCGTAGAGACTATTGTGGCCAGGCTAGGCTACTAGAGACAATTGTACTCAGGCTAGGCTCCTTGAGACTATTGTCAGGCTAGGCTGCTAGAGAATATTGTACTCAGGCTAGGCTGCTAGAGACAGTTGTCAGGCTAGGCTGCTAGAGACTATTATACTCAGGGTAGGCTGCTAGAGACTATTGTACTCAGGCTGAGACTGTTGAGTTCAGGACAACTTTACCCAATGTTTTGTTTTGGGTCAGAAAACCATTTGGTCAGGAAGAGGGAGTACATGAGCTTACACGAGACACACAACTACTGCATTGAATTTCTTAATTTTTATCCTATGCTCATACCGTGTTTACGGAGGCAATATATTAAACTATTACACATTATTTTCTTGTACTTGTGAAATTGTGAAACCATTTTGGAGCGTGTTAAGTTATCATTAGAAATAAAGTTGATTGTCGTGATCTCATCTCACAGAATTCTGCGTTTTATTTCTATGTTTGCGTCATTCGTGGTTTGATCGTTGAGATCTGTAGATAAACTTTTGTACCCCATACCATGTTGTCTTTAAAAAAAAAGATTGAGCTGGAATGTTTTATCTTAAAGACTTTAGGATATATAGAATCATCTCACGTTATATAATATAATTTAATATATATACCACAATATTATGAAATTACAGTCATTCCCAAGCTACAATGAATGTGTTGGTATGAGAAATGATTTGAGTGGATAGAGTTGGATAGCAATGTGAAGCAATCATACAGTCATACACTCATACAGTCATACAATCATACAGTCATACAATGATACAATCATACAGTCATATAATCATACAATTATACAATTATACAATCATACAGTCATACCCAAATTACAACCTAAGCGATTGAAGAATTCAAAAAAAAAAAAAAAAAAAAAAAAAAAAAAAAAAAAAAAAAAAAAAAAAAAACAAAAAAAAAAANGTATCTGAAAGTTATCTTGTATCTGAAAGTTATCTTGTATCTGAAAGTTATCTTGTATCTGAAAGTTATCTTGTATCTGAAAGTTATCTTGTATCTGAAAGTTATCTTGTATCTGAAAGTTATCTTGTATCTGAAAGTTATCTTGTATCTGTATGTATCTTGTATCTTTATGTATCTTGTATCTGTATGTATCTTGTATCTGTATGTATCTTGTATCTGTATGTATCTTGTATCTGTATGTATCTTGTATCTGTATGTTTCTTGTATCTGTATGTATCTTGTATCTGTATGTTTCTTGTATCTGCATGTATCTTGTATCTGTATGTTTCTTGTATCTGCATTTATCTTGTATCTGTATGTATCTTGTATCTGTATGTATCTTGTATCTGTATGTATCTGTTTACGTTTCATTAAAAAAAAAATGATGATTAAAGAAACACCCGGGAGCTTGAACTTTAAGGCAACTTAAATGTTTCACATCAACATTTTTTGTACAGAAATTGCGCAACATATACTCTATAGATGATTCATAAATAAGATTGATTGAGAGAAGAATATAACACGATTCTAGCAATCACTGCAACGCCTTTTGTACCTCTTAAATTTTATCAGATCCAGTTCAGAAATATGTTTAACCTTATAGCTGTAATCAACTCCCATTAAATAATGTGTCACTTTTGCTCTAGCACATCATTTAATTGTTATAACACAACTCACATTTGTTCTTGCACATCTATTATTTGTTCTAAAACAGCTCACATTTTTTCGAGCACATCTATTCATTGTTCGAACACAACTCACACTTGTTCTAGCCCTCGGTACACAGCTCCCGACATGACATCCCAACACCCAGTGACTCGTGCAGCCATCGAGCAAAGTCTCTACACCTGACTCACACAGACCTCGCCCTCTCCCCCCCCCTCCGGCGCCCCACTTGATGCCAACAATCTGCCATTTCTGCAACCCTCACAGCTCATGGAACCAACACAGAACATTGATCATCTGGCGACCACACAGTCGATCAACTTGTAATTCCTGGATTCTCTTTCCAGCACTTTTTAAAGCTACATTTTTTCTGAAGTTCAGCTTTTCCCCCTTTTCTTTATTCTGTTCGCTAAAATGTTTAAGTCTCCTTCTTCTAATGTTTTTCTTAAATTTCATATAGAAACGGTTGAACCAAAGTGAGTAATAAAATGAGGATACTACCACACACCAAATCTTGTATTTAATTTGCATACATGTAACTAGATATTACCACACATCAGATCTTGTATTTAATTTGCATACATGTAACTAGATATTACCACACATAACAAAATTGTATTTAATTTGCATACATGTAACTAGATATTACCACACATCAGATCTTGTATTTAATTTGCATACATGTAACTAGATATTACCACACATAAGAAAATTGTATTTAATTTGCATACATGTAACTAGATATTACCACTCATCAGATCTTGTATTTAATTTGCTTACATGTAACTAGATATTACCACACATTAGATCTTGTATTTAATTTGCTTACATGTAACTAGATATTACCACACATCAGATCTTGTATTTAATTTGCATACATGTAACTAGATATCACCACACATCAGATTTTGTATTTAATTTGCTTACATGTAACTAGATATTACCACACATCAGATCTTGTATGTAATTTGCATACATGTAACTAGATATTACCACACATCAGATCTTGTATGTAATTGCTTACATGTAACTAGATATTACCACACAAGGCATCCCCCGTTTAGCGTCAAGATTTTATTATAGTGTAGACGCGAAGACATGATGGAGCTTAAGACCACAGACGTATACAAGGCGCCCCCACCCCGTAAAGCAACGAGCGTCCACAAGTACAAATGTTCTAAGCTTTGTTCTGTTTTCTGAAATATTTTTTTTTTATTAAGTCTGACGTAAGTCAAACTGCAGTCATTTACGCCATGATTAATTTGAATAATATTCCTATAGTATTCTTGCCCGAGTTACGGGACAGGGTCAGGGTGACCTGAGAATTGACAAGCGTTTACGGCACAGGGTATGGGTGGCCTGAGAATTGACAAAGGTTTATGGAACAGGGCCAGGGTGGCCTGAGAATCAACAAAGGTTTACAGCACAGGGTCAGGGTGGCCTGAGAATTGACAAAGGTTTTACGGCACAGGGTCAGGGTGACCTGAGAATTAACAAAGGTTTATGGCACCGGGTCAGGGTGGCCTGAGAATTGACAAAGGTTTATGGCACCGGGTCAGGGTGACCTGAGAATCAACAAAGGTTTGTCTTTTCGTGACAGGGTTTGGGTTTGAGGACGTCAAATTGATATAAAATTGTTTAACTTCATTTCTTGATGGAAAAAAAACAACACAACGTCTCACGCTCCCCATGTAGTGCATGCTATGGCGCGCCTCTGATACAGTACTTTGGGGGTACATTACCCTCACATGTCTTCATTTTCAGAGACATTACCCTCATATGTCTTCATTTTCAGAGACATTACCCTCACATGTCTTCATTTTCAGAGATATTACCCTCACATGTCTTCATTTTCAGAGACATTACCCTCACATGTCTTCATTTTCAGAGACATTACCCTCACATGTCTTCATTTTCAAAGACATTACCCTCACATGTCTTCATTTTCAGAGACATTACCCTCACATGTCTTAATTTTCAGAGACATTACCCTCACATGTCTTCATTTTCAGAGACATTACCCTCACATCTCTTCATCTTCAGATACATTACCCTCACATGTCTTCATTTTCAGAGACATTACCCTCACATGTCTTCATTTTCAGAGACATTACCCTCACATCTCTTCATCTTCAGATACATTACCTTCACATTTCTTCATCGTCAGAGACATTACCCTCACATCTCTTCATCTTCAGATACATTACCTTCACATTCCTTCATCGTCAGAGACATTACCCTTACATCTCTTTCTCTTGCCAACCCTTCTATCTCTAATATTTTTTTACACTTCTCACTTTTTTCCTTCTTAAATATTTGCCGTGTTCTTCTTGTCTCCCTTTGCAGCATCATTAGCAGAGCCTTGTTCTTTCTTCTATAAATTCTCTGCATTCTGCGTCATACCATCCTGTTCTGCGTCATACCATCCTGTTCTGCATCATACCATCCTGTTCTGTGTAATGTCATCCTGTTCTGTGTGATACCATCCTGTTCTGTGTGATACCATCTTGTTCTGCGTCATACCATCTTGTTTTTTCCCTGTAGGTTTAAATCCTTTTGTTTCCTGATACACTTACAACTATTTGCTTACAGAATTGCTCATTGTAATATTGATGTTGGTCATTTCCTTTTTGGATAATTCTAGATGAGTTGGAAACCTCTGGTGACATGCTAAAAAAATCTTTGCTTTCTCACTTATATTCTGGCTGTTGTACCATTTTTATATTTTCTTTGGTTTTTTGCGGGGGGGGGGGATATAACAAATTATTTGTTCATTTTGATTTTAAATGGCATATGGTCTGAGTCTACGTCTGCCCCCCCCCACAAGTATATGATCTAAGTCTACGCCTGTCTCCCAACAAGTATATGATCTGAGTCTACGTCTACCCCACAAGTAGATGGTCTGAGTCTAAGTCTGCTCCACCCACAAGTAGATGGTCTGAGTCTAAGTCTGATCCCCCCCAAAAGTATATGGTCTGAGTCTAAGTCTGCTTCCCCACAAGTATATGGTCTGAGTCTAAGTCTACTCCCCCCCACAAGTAGATGATCTAAGTCTACGTCTGCCCCACCCCTTCACAAGTAGATGGTCTGAGTCTAAGCCTGTCCCCCCACAAGAAGATGATCTGAGTCTAAGTCTGCTTCCCCACAAGTATATGGTCTGAGTCTATGTCTGCTCCGCCCACAAGTAGATTGTCTGAGTCTAAGTCTGCTCCTCTAAAGACTGCTCCATTTAATATGTCATTGTTGGAGTCTTATAATCTTGTCATTGTTGTAGCCATACCATCCTGTCATTGTCGGAACCATACCATCCTGTCATTGTCGGAGCCATACCATCCTGTCATTGTCGGAGCCATACCATCCTGTCATTGTCGGAGCCATACCATCCTGTCATTGGCTACGCCATCTCTTTCATTTGTGGTAAATCTATCTGCATTGTGATATCCATGTCGCTTTATGTCTTTGTGTTGGACTATGATGCGATTGATTGTCAATCCTTGTTCTGTAGCGAAGTTCATTAGACGTGCTCCGTTGTCATTGCTCTCGTCGTGCAGACTTTCTTTTCAGATAGTTTATTTGTAAGCGGGTTCTTTTTAGATAGTTAAAGACACATCTATTTCGCAAGCACCTACTGGGATGATTGTCTTCAATATTTTCCAGTTAATGCATATTTGCTGTGTTGCTTAGGGTTGAAATGGCTAGAAAGACTTTAACATTGTATGCTTGTAATTAGTTTTTGTAGTGTTGCGTTTGTTTTAAATTTTTTAAATTATTTGACTTTGTAACGCGCTTCGAGCCTTTGGGGATGAAGCGTGTTTTTGAAATAAACTTTATTATAATTATTAATTGGTATGTAAGAGGGTTCTTTTCCAACAGTTGGTCTGTAAGCGGGTTCTTTTCAGATAGTTGGTCTGTAAGCGGGTTCTTTTCAGATAGTCGGTCTGTAAGCGGGTTCTTTTCAGATAGTTGGTCTGTAAGCGGGTTCTTTTCAGATAGTTGGTCTGTAAGCGGGTTCTTTTCAGATAGTTGGTCTGTAAGCGGGTTCTTTTCAGATAGTTGGTCTGTAAGCGGGTTCTTTTCAGATAGTTGGTCTGTAAGCGGGTTCTTTTCAGATAGTTGGTCTGTAAGCGGGTTCTTTTCAGATAGTTGGTCTGTAAGCGGGTTCTTTTCAGATAGTTGGTCTGTAAGCGGGTTCTTTTCAGATAGTTGGTCTGTAAGCGGGTTCTTTTCAGATAGTTGGTCTGTAAGCGGGTTCTTTTCAGATAGTTGGTCTGTAAGCGGGTTCTTTTCAGATAGTTGGTCTGTAAGCGGGTTCTTTTCAGATAGTTGGTCTGTAAGCGGGTTCTTTTCAGATAGTTGGTCTGTAAGCATTTTTTCCCCTATTGTCGCATTGAAATCTCCAAGAACTATTTTGGTATGATGGTGTCTTCTCAAATACTTTTTTGAGTGTTTCATAGAATGTTTCCTTAATGCTTTCATCTGTATCTTCCGTTGGAGCATGTGCTGATATTAACATGATGTTAAACATTTTTCCTTGTCTTCTTATGCAGCTCAGTCCTTCGCTCACTAGTTTAAACCCAATAACCGTCTCTCCTTTGACTGTAGTCCTTCACTCACTGGTTTAAACCCAATGACTGCATTTACTGTCTCTCTTTTGACTGTAGTCCTTCACTCACTGGTTTAAACCCAATGACTGCATTTACTGTCTTTCTTTTGACTGTAGTCCTTCACTCACTGGTTTAAACCCAATGACTGCATTTACTGTCTCTCTTTTGACTGTAGTCCTTCACTCACTGGTTTAAACCCAATGACTGCATTTACTGTCTCTCTTTTGACTGCAGTCCTTCACTCACTGGTTTAAACCCAATGACTGCATTTACTGTCTTTCTTTTGACTGCAAACCTTGTTCCTAAGGTGTTTGCGTTGTTTCCATTGTAGAGTATCGTAGGCTCTTTAGTACTTAGTACACTATTTCCATGATACCTCCTCCAGTGCAGCAACAGTGATTCTACATCGTATGAACTCAGAACATTCCAGGTCGCTAACCGTCAATCATATCCTTGTCCAGGAATAGGTCGAAATCAATAAAAAAAAAAAATCCGCCTGTTATTCGTTTGTGACGTACCTTTCGTAACATTGGATTTGTTACGGGAAAAGAACGTCAGCCTGGGCACTTAAAGAGTCCCCTTAGAGCTCTCAGAGTAGCTGCCCTTGTCAAATTCTCTTTTCTTTATTAATCAAATAATATATTTTATAAAATATACATAAATCACTTTTGGTGTCATAGGAAGAATCTCTCATCACAAATTGATGCATTCAAAAGAAACAAAAAAACTGATGATCTCCCGACACACACTAATGATCTCCCCACGAACACTGATGATCTCCCCACTCACACACCAATGATCTCCCTACTCAAACACCGATGATCTCCTCACTCTCAAACCGATGATCTCCTCACTAATACACCAATGATCTCCCCAGTCTCATACAGATGATCTCCCCACTCTCACACCGATGATCTCCCCACTCACACACCGATGCTCTCCCCACTATCACACCGATGATCTCCCCATTCCCACACCAATGATCTCCCCACTCTCACACCGATGTTCTCCCCACTCGCACACATATGATCTACCTGTTGCTTTCTCTCTCTCTCTCAAACACACACATCCACTCACACACACACATCCACTCACACACACACATCCACTCACAAACACATCCACTCACACACACACACCTTGTGGGAAGACACGTCAGTCTCTGATTCAGATAGTTTTGCAGGGCTGTTTGCCTTCCCCCAAGAACACTGCATCATTAGACAGTTGAGATAGTCCGTCTGCACCATAGACAGTTGAGATAGTCCGTCTGCACCATAGACAGTTGAGATAGTCCGTCTGCACCATAGACAGTTGAGATAGTCCGTCTGCACCATAGACAGTTGAAATAGTCCGTCTGCACCATAGACAGTTGAGATAGTCCGTCTGCACCATAGACAGTTGAGACAGTCCGTCTGCACCATAGACAGTTGAGACAGTCCGTCTGCACCATAGACAGTTGAGACAGTCCGTCTGCACCATAGACAGTTGAGACAGTCCGTCTGCACCATAGACAGTTGAGACAGTCCGTAAAGCAAGGCGGCAAACCTCTTAAACGTAGGCAGAATCTACGACCGTTATCTCATCTTTATTACGTACACACTTAACGTAGTCGCTTACTATTTGAAAGAACACATTTACTGCCAGATCACTTACCAGATTCTATGGAAACTTGGGTCACGCTCCACGGGTTAATTGGGCTACAATTTATGACACACATCATGCGTAATGAGAAAAACCGTCTTTGTTCTAACCAGGTATCCCTTAGGGGGCTCTACCTGTGGCGCTCAAGAGTAGGGGGAGCAAGGGAGTGGGGGCTTTAACTGGCAGTTCAACCAACGAGATTCTCGGCAACACGAGACGGGATCACGCTGTACCACCGCGAGATTTCTCTGGCCAGAAAAACAAACGAACGATCTACACATTCCCTATTTATTGCCCTCTGTTGGCCATTAATTGTTGCAATGTTTAGGTTTAGAAAAATATGAACTGTAGGCATATTGTGGATTCTGACCTGCTGTAATAGTTCTCTAAAACTGAGCCTTTATTCTGGTCAGTTCTGCTCTATATCTGCTGTAATAGTTCTCTAAAATTAGGGCTTTATTTTGATCTTATCAATTTCTCTTCTTCTTCTTTGCCTTTTCATCTCTCAAGAGAGCATAAGTTATTACACATTTCTTCCCAAACCCAAAGGGTAACTTGATTTCTCCTATAATTCTTTCAAATATTAAAGTGGACAGAGTCAACTTCTAGGAAAGGTAGACCCCTAAATTGACCCCTTAAATAACCCCTTAAATTGAACGATTCAATTGATCCTTGAAATTAATCATTGACCTCTTCTATTAACCTAACTCCATTGACCCCTTCAATTAACCGCATTTCATTGACCCTTTCAATTAATTGCATTCCATTTACCCTTCAATTAACCGCATTCCATTGACCCCTTCATTTAACCCATTCCATTGACCCCTTCATTTAACCCATTCCATTGACCCCTTCATTTTACCAATTTCATTGACCCCTTCATTTAACCCCATTTCATTGGCCATTTCAATTAATTGCATTCCATTTACCCTTCAATTAACCCCATTCCATTGACCCCTTCATTTAACCCATTCCATTGACCCCTTCATTTAACCCATTCCATTGACCCCTTCATTTAACCCATTTCATTGACCCTTTCAATTAATTGCATTCCATTTACCCTTCAATTAACCCCATTCCATTGACCTCTTCATTTAACCCATTCCATTGACCCCTTCATTTAACCCATTCCACTGACCCCTTCATTTAACCCATTTCATTGACCCTTCATTTAACCCCATTCCATTGACCCTTTCAATTAACCCCATTCCATTGACCCCTTCAATAACCCTATTTCATTGACCCCTTCAATTAACCCCATTCCATTGACCCCTTCATTTAACCCCATTCCATTGACCCCTTCAATTGACCTCATTCCATTGACCCCATTCAATTGACCCCTTCATTCATTGAACCCTTCATTCATTGACCCCTTCATTCATTGACCCCTTCATTTAACCCCATTCTATTGACCCTTTAATTAACCTATACCCCAAAATTCAATGGTAGTAATTTAGTTTTCTTAAGCTGCACTTGATTGTATTAATAAACATCAATGTCTCTACACGTATTTACATCTGTTGGTGAGTGTGGCGAGCAGGCACTTGTATTTACAGGTAGCTAATCCAGTGATTAGAGTTGAGGTAGCAAAGCCAGTGTTTAGAGTTAAGGTAGCAGAGACAGTGTTTAGGGTAGAGGTAGCAAAGCCAGTGTTTAGAGTTGAGGCAGCAAATCCAGTGATTAGAGTTGAGGTAGCAAATCCAATGATTAGAGTTGAGGTAGCAAAGCCAGTGTTTAGCGTTAATGTAGCAGAGACAGTGTTTAGGGTGGAGGTAGCAAAGCCAGTGTTTAGAGTAGAGGCAGCAAATCCAATGATTAGAGTTGAGGTAGCAAAGCCATTGTATTGAGTTAAGGTAGCAGAGACAGTGTTTAGAGAAGAGGTAGCAAAGCCAGTGTTTAGAGTTGAGGTAGCAGGGCAACTGTTTAGAATTGAATGATTGTTGCTTTGGAAAATGTTCATTGTGGCTATCCTTATGAATAAATAACTTTATTGACTTTCAAATCATCAGCATTAGGCACCACCCCCAACCGTATAGTCTCAAAATCGTGCCAAAATTCATTATACAATCCAAATTTTTACAAACCCAAATTGTATAACCCACTGTCAAAACAACCATTATAACACCCCCATTATACAATCCTCATTAAACGTTATACAATAACCCTATAAATCGCCATTTTCTCCTCTTATATATATTACGCTTCTGGTGTGACTCGTCGACTGCTTCCTAATCAACGAATTTGGAATAACACAAATAATTATATATGTTTAAAACGAAGTATCATTCAATAATGAGTTCAATAGCGCATAAAATAGAAGTCCAGATAACTGCGCTAAGTGATATTTTTTTGTATAACGCAACTGCGTTTGGTGCGTAATATTTTCTTTTCGGAAAATGAAACCGTCTCAATGTAAGTATGGTGTAAAAAATATTTGATTTCAAAGTGGTTGGGACATAAGAATATTTAATATAGTTCATGGGCGTGAAATAAAAAGTGTGCAGTGACGTATCATGGGGAAGGGGTGTAGCAACAATTGTGAATCTAAAATGTGCGTTACTTGAGTTCATGTTTTATCAACTAATTTTAGTAGATGGTAAGTTCTTCCATTGCTGTCGCCAATGTTTGGCCAGCTATATCTAGTATATGGAAAGTTCACCCATTGCTGTCGCCAATGTTCGGCCAGCTATATCTACTAGATGGGAAGTTCACGCATTGGTGTCGCCAATGTTTGGCCAGCTATATCTAGTAAATGGAAAGTTCACCCATTGCTGTCGCCAATGTTCGGCCAGCTATATCTACTAGATGGGAAGTTCACGCATTGCTGTCGCCAATGTTCGGCCAGCTATATCTACTAGATGGGAAGTTCACGCATTGCTGTCGCCAATGTTTGGCCAGCTATACCTTGTATGGTTCATATTATGCCAACCCGCTGCCACCAAAAAAAGAAAAAAAAAATTCTTTTATTCATTCAACATTTCACAATCCCAATCATACCAATCTCAATGTATTTAGCCCTCATAGGTTTTTCCCCATTGTTCAATCCTACTACAGCGACTACTCCCAAATGTATGTAATACTCCCATAATTAAATCAAAACATCGTGCACCCCATACATTGCTTATGTACTTTTACCACGCTATGTCAGAGATACGTCACAAAGACGTAAGAATGTTTTCATCTCACATTGTTTGGAGTACACACCTGCTCTTCCATTCGACTCCATCATCACATCAAAAAAATGGCTTTGGCGCACCGACCTGATTAAATTAACTACGTCCTTTTTCTTGGCTCAAGCGAGAGCAGTAAATCGCGTTTTTTATAGAAGACTTTCTGCGGACGGTGGCAGTGGTAACCAAGGCCAGATAACTCCCAGTAACTCAAGGATTGAAGACTTTTGGCCCACGGTTGCAGCGGTAACCAGGGACAGATAACTCCAGATACGGGAGCTGTGTGTTTGGGGTCTTATCATCGCCAGATTGAGAGAGATGAATACCGCCAAAGTGTGACGCTTGCAAAGCTGACATTTAGGAATGGTGTGCTGAGATACCAACCTTTGCACAATAGGTCATGTATTTATAGATGTGGATGTGACGTAACTAAGTTCCTTCAAAGGAGGAAGAGGGAGAAAGGGGGGGGGGGAGCAAGAGTACAAAGCCACCGTAAACCAGTCATTGCAGTACTGTACCATTTTGTCTGTTGTCCTTATATGTAATATTATCTTACTTTCATACAGACATTCATTTATAACTTTCTATGTTTATCATTCTATGTTTATCTATGTTTCTATGCATTCTATTCTTATGTTTCTATTCTATGTTTATCTAGGTTAATACAGACATTCTTTTATAACTTTCAATGTTTAGAGTTGAATGATTGCTGCATTTGGAAATATTCGTTGTGGCTAACGTTACGACTAAATAACTTTCATTTACTTTCTAATCATCAGCATAAAGATGACTTTTTTTTCCCCCCCAACCTTAGAGCCTCAGCATCGTGCCAAATTTCATCATACAATCCACATGTATACAATCTAAATAATATAACCCACTGATTTTTTTTTTTTGGGGGGGGGAGTGTGGGGGGGGGGGGGGCGGGTTGGCATAATATGAACTATACTAGATATAGCTGACCAAACATTGGCGACAGCAATGCGTGGATTTCCCATATCCCCCCCAACCTTAGAGCCTCAGCATCGTGCCAAATTTCATCATACAATCCACATGTATACAATCTAAATAATATAACCCACTGATTTTTTTTTTTTGGGGGGGGGGAGTGTGGGGGGGTGGGGGGCGGGTTGGCATAATATGAACTATACTAGATATAGCTGACCAAACATTGGCGACAGCAATGCGTGGATTTCCCATCTACTAGATATAGCTGACCAAACATTGGTGACAGCAATGCGTGAACTTCCCATCTACTAGATATAGCTGACCAAACATTGGTGACAGCAATGCGTGGATTTCCCATCTACTAGATATAGCTGGCCAAACATTGGCGACAGCAATGCGTGGATTTACCATCTACTAGATATAGCTGGCCAAACATTGGCGACAGCAATGCGTGGATTTCCCATCTACTCGATATAGCTGGCCAAACATTGGTAAAACATTAGATCTTAGGATGGGATCATAAGGGTAGACAATTAAATTTTAGGATGGGATAAAGTTGGTAGAGCATCATAATATGTAAAATTATTTTTAAAGCTTAACTTATTTTTTTATATTGACACAAATTGTTCGTGTCTAATTATCTAATTGACAAAATGTCTAATTGTCATTAAATATTAGACAGTCCTGTACTGATGTCATTTCAGCTCTGTCTATCAAACATTGTCAAACGAAATCAGAATTAGACTAATTAAAATTTAAAAAATAAAAATAAATAAAAAACAAAAAACAAACAAAACAACAACATAAAGATACATATCCGAATGTCTGTATTACGATGAACATTGATAACATCACCAATTTTCTGAATTACTTAATTAGAAAGTTCGAAGGTCACGCATAAAATGTGACACCAGAATTTAACATGGAGGCCAGTACACTAAGGAGTGTATTCTCTAAAAGTCAAATACAAGAAGAAAGTAGACAATGAGCAGACGTTAAAATGATGATAGACGAGTGACCTCCTCCACCGCCCCCCC